GACTGAGAATTAAGTACTTGAATGTGGTTTACGAGTGGAAAGAAAGAGTTACTTTAGGGCGTCTAAATGCACGGTAATTACAGGGGTGTGCGATACTTAAGTAAGATCCACAGCGAATAAATTCCACACAGTCTTCAAATCTTAAAATAACTTCTCTTTAGTGGTGTAAGTTCGTGTGAGTCACCCTTTACTTCCAATATGAGCGCTGCAGACTGCAGAGTCTATTAGGTACTTTTCGTGGTGCGAACCCGCTGTGGTGTGAGTTGGTGCGAGTCCCCCATTATTCAGACCGCTGGTCACCCTATCCCGCCCCAGCGACGGTATTGATCCGGCCGACCTTGATCGCGAGTACACCCCACAATATTATCTTTTTACTCTGGACTATAAACTCGAGATTATCAAAAGCTTAATCTTACTCAAATGGCCTAGGATTACAGTTACAAAGGCAGCCATTATTGACTTTGAATTTAAGATTTTTAAAGAGACCATCTTGAATATAGTTCTGTTCTTGTTTTTAGGGTTCCATTGAAACACCAAATGATCCCTTGTGGCTGTCTTTTACAGAAAACTTTACTTATAAACGAAGTACCTACTTGATGAAAATACTTGAAAAGAACTAGAATGCAGGACCTTTAATTAATATCACACTATTATGTAGTAGCAAAGGAAGGACGTACCTATGTATATTTAGCAATGGAAATATTCTGTCGTCATCTGTTCTAAATCGGCAGTAGGTAAATTAAGTTCCTAAGCTTAATTAGTATCTGTACTGACTGTCAAATGCTAAATCTCCAGAGCTCAACGTCTATATTAAATTGTGACAACGTCACGGACGAGAAACGCAAACATTTGTAAAGTACCCAGACAAAGACGAGGGCAAATAAGCCTCGGGCAGGACTATAGTGCTTTGCAAACAGACAAGGGGAAGTAGTGATGTACAAGGCTCGAGGCTTCCGAGTCCTTTTGCCGAGAGCTCAGAGTCGTTTACAGGGCTTGCCTCGTTTGTATGTAGCTCGACGACTCGGAAGTCTTTTTTAGAGTTCGAGCCTTTTTCGGGGCTCGCCTTGTTTGTAAGAAGCTTGGAGTCTTTCGCAGAGCTCGAGCCTTTTTGAGAGCTCGAGCCTTTTTGAAAGCCCAGTTAACTTTTGTGTTAAGATCGTTCTTTTGAATAAAACTGCAGGAATTCTGATACCTACAATAAAATACATATTTGAAAAACGTTTTTCACAACAGGACACAATCAAATAATGACTACAAACAATTAGAATTAGAATTTTTCACAACAAAATAAAATATAGGTACATTTTAAAAATCTTATAATAAAAATCAATGTAGGTGATGTTTTTTTTTTATTTTTTGCCGAAGGTTTGAGCTCTTTTGAAGGTTCGAGCTCTTTTTAAGGCTCGAGCTCTTTTAAAGCTTCGAGGCATGGCTCAGAGAGCTCGCAGCTCGGCTAAGCTCGGGGGCAACGAGCCTACCGAGCTCACTGAGCCTTGCCATTCCGCCTCGAGGCTTCAAAAATAGGACCCCGTACAGGGGTGAAAACTGAAGCTGATAGAATCAAGAAAGTCTTATGTCCTTCCCTACAAAATTGTTGAATTAAAAAAAAGCTTCTCTCGTAACCATCTTCCCCATTTACTCTCTATAGGGAATAGAATTAGAGGGGAAGTGCCGTGGACGGGTGAAAACTGAAGCTGATAGAATCAAGAAAGCCTTATGTATGTCCTTCCCTACAAAAATATTGAATTAAGAAAAGCTTCTCTTTTAGCCATGTTTTGATCCCATCTACTCTCTAAAGAGCATAGAATTAGAGGGGAAGGCCCATGGAGGGGTGAAAACGGAAGCTGATAGAATCGAGAAAGCCTTCATGTCTTTCCCTACAAAATTATTGAATTAAAAAAAGCTTCTCTCTTAAAAGCATCTTCCCCATTTATTACTCTCTATAGGGAACAAAATTAGAGGGGAAGTCCCATGAAGGGGTGAAAACTGAAGCAGAAAGAATCGAGGACGTCTTCATGGGTTCCTTTTACAAAATTATTGAATTAAAAAACCTCACTAATCTCATATTCCGATCCCATTTACTTTATAAAGGGCACAGAATATGAAAATGAAAAGATCTGTCCCATTATATTGCCAAAAAATAGTGGTAGAGCTTTTAAAAAGGGTCAAACCAAAATATTGCGTGTTTTGACTGGATGAAGCTTGCAACATTTAACTGTTCACAAGCTTTTCGGGAAACCCTCATCATCCGGAGGGTAGCTGCGATCTCACGGTTTCAAGGTGACGCCGCGGCCGTGACCCAAAAAGCCGACAGCGGGATTGGGAACCCCCTATTTTGCAGCATTCAAGGACGAGTCCTGTTTGCAGCATCTGGCGGCAATCGATTTTCTAAAGTAGTCTTTATGACAGATCCATGCGGCCATATTTCTTAGGTGCGGACAAAAAAGAGATTAATTATGTAATATTTATTTTATTTCTTAATTATTTTTCTTCACTTTTATTTAGCTTTCACCCCCACTCATTATAGGATATTTTAACAGTCATAAATATTGAGGTTATAATAATCATTATGTACCTAATACTTACTACAAGTGTAAGATTATAAGTCGATTCTGTGGTTTAGATGTGAAAGCGTAACATACAGACATATTATACTTTCGCATTTGTAATATTAGTAGGGATAGGGGTTGTGATTGAGGTATACCTAAACTATGTAAAGTTTCATTTAAATATCTTCACCAGTTGTATTTAGCAAGAGTCATTGATTGAGTAGATAAAGTTAAATTCATCATCTATTTTACAAATATTTCCTATCTTATTAAATCCGGCTTCCTGAAACTACTTGGTGGCCCTACTTGAGACATCCGTTTCCGCTCTTGAACTTCGAGGGGCATGAAAGGGGCGGTTGTAATCTTCCCTCTCGTTACTGAATGAGTCACCTTTCAAGGGGGTTGATCTGAAACATCAAAACACACTCAAGTTACCGCTATTAAGTTAAATAGGTACTCGTACCGCATAAATTAAATTAAATTAAATTACATAAATGGTATAGATACATCATAGAGGCGTTAATTCCTCTATGAGATATAGTTCCAAAATACTGAACTGTCCTATCCATGACATTGACAGCGGGGCGCCACCGTCAATACCGGATCGCTGGTTCCAATTTTTGCCATGTTGGAAACCATTTATAGTTGAACGATAGTAGCGCCCCTCTGTCATTGAGTTTGGGGGGGACAGTTCAGCGTGGGTCATCTATACATTATTCAACGTAGATTTAAGAAGCTTTAATAGCGTTACTCACTATTTAGGACCTAACTATTAGATGCTAAAATTGTTAGGTTGTTTGTTGATTAGTATGTAATAATACAGGTATTTATTTTGAGTTTTTTTTTATGATGGCGTTTCAAATTGCTTTGCTCTTTCTTTAAGAGAAACTCTTTGGGAAAGAGAGTCGAATGTTATGAGAACTGAATCTGCGACCTCTATTACAGACATTTTGGCTATATTAAGTTCATCTTTTGAGTCTTCATATTTTGTGCATTTTTATAAGAATGTCACATCAAGTAACTTCGTTTGGTACCTTTTTGGTACTTACAATGCTCAATTTCCCCTTGTATACCTTACCTAATTAATCAACGTCCAAGGCTGAACGTATTTGTTGATGGCACACAGGGATTAAACACCTGCTTCCCCTCATTACCCCCATACCCCAGCGAGGGTGGGGGTGAAATTAAGTCGAAGCCTACTCCCATCCAATCTGCAGAAGTTATTGCATTACGTCTGCCCCAGGCTTATACGAAGTACCAGCACTAATTGGATTTACATCAGAGAAATCATTTTGCAATTTGATTGGAGAAAGTCAGGGCTAACCGGGGAAAATTAGCTGACCAAATTAGCCTTTTTAAAGCGCCTTTCGACGTCTCTCTATCAGTAATGAATATGACTGTATTTAAAAACAATTTGAAACTACTTTTCATACTTCTGATTGAATTGAAACCATAAAAATTTCACTTTAAAATTCAGCTCTCTGAACAATACACAAAAAAGCGTAAAACAAACTATGAAAAAAAGAGTATTCTTGGAGATAGTAGGTACTTCTAGAGTAATTAATCAGTTATTAATTGCTGTATTACACTATGATTAAATTAATTTCATCGGAGTGGTTAATTAGGCTTATGTAAACCAATCAGCAGTTAATAATCATTTAACGAGCCGGTTATTTACTAATCAGTTAATGGATTAGGTCGTTTAGTAATCACTTAACAAGGTGATATTTGTGTTTAAATTAAAATATGGTCGCTTTAGCTAAATATTTTGGAAGAGGTAACTTACGTAATCAGCTACAACTTTAGGCTGAAAATTGGCAAGTTAAAAGTATGGTTCAAAAATTACTATTTTTGGCAGCAGAATCAAGAAAGATAAAAGAAGGAGATGACTTAATCAAAAAAATATTAAGAATATCAGGAAAGCGTAAAAGGGTAGTTCTCGGGGGTGCTGAAATAAAAAGATATGCATCAAGTATACGGATGAATGGGGAATCCAGGGGAAAATATCGACCCAAGGAAATGGGCCAAGGACGGCTCCTTGCAGGACCCCACGGGGTGTGATTGTCATTATTACTCGTGCATGCTGAACGTTCAAGGTCAACACAAAAGTCGAACGTTATTATACCATCTATTATGAATCCTGATTTAATGGAATATCAGCTTCTAAAGGTTAATGGAATACCGAAGTTTTTGTGGATATAGATATTTGTACATGTAGAAGGCAAATGTATGAAACAGTAAGAGTTATACCTACTCAGTTAGTACCTCTAAATTTTTTCGAGTTTTCTAAATTCTGAGCTATAGGACCGTGAAGAGAGGCCGTAAATGAATTTCAACCTTTTGGTAGTGTTGACTATCATACTATCTATTACTAAATGAGATGATACAGTGTCGTTATGTTGATGGAATGTTGTAGGTCTAGCGTCTAATCTTAGTTCCCTTTGTCCCCAGGACATCTCTACCAGTGGCCCAATTCAGTCGCGGCGACTTCTCCCTCTGGTCGGTGCTGAAGAACTGCGTCGGGAAGGAGCTGTCCAAGATCACCATGCCGGTGGTGTTCAACGAGCCGCTGTCCTTCCTCCAGAGGATGCTGGAGTATCTGGAATACGCGCATCTGCTGAGGATGGCTTCGGAGCAGACAGACCCTGTGGCCAGGATGGAGTATATTGCTGGTAAGCAACTGCTTCATCATCGTTACCAGCCATAGGACTACGCTTCAAGATCACCATGCCGGTGGTTTTAATGAGCAGATATCCATCCCTCCCGAGAATACTGGAGTATCTGGAGTACACGCATCTGCTGCGGATGGCTTCGGAGCAGACAGACCCTGTGGCCAGGATGGAGTATATTGCTGGTAAGCAACTGTTTCATCATCATTACCAGCCATAGGACTACGCCCCAAGATCACCATGCCGGTGGTGTTCAACGAGCCGCTGCCCTTCCTCCAGAGGATGCTGGAGTATCTGGAGTACGCGCATCTGCTGAGGATGGCTTCGGAGCAGACAGACCCTGTGGCCAGAATGGAGTATATTACTGGTAAGCAACTGCTTCATAATCATTATTAGCCATAGGACTCCACTCCAAGATCACCAAGCTGGTGGTGTTCAAGCCGCTGTGCTTCCTTCAGAGGATGCTGGAGTATCTGGAATACGCGCATCTGCTGAGGATGGCTTCGGAGCTGACAGACCCTGTGGCCAGGATAGAGTATATTGCTGGTAAGCAATTTCTTGATTACGGAAAATTTTCTTTTTACATTCAGGCGGGAGACAAGCGACTGAAGGACCGAACGCATCTATGGAATTCGTTGATTCATGGGTCCTAAATTCTACCCTTAATTTGGTTAAATAATTCATCATTTCAAGCATAGGCTTCCCCCAATGATTTCCAGATTGACCGGTTCATAACGGCCTGCATGCAGCGCCTTCCTGCTACCTTTATTAGGTCGTCTGTCTACCTTTTAGGTGAATGATTGTAGTAAAGGCTTGATTACGGTCAAATTTTCCTTTTGCAGTTAGGCCAGAGTTGCAACTAATGGACCGAAGGATTAGAGAATGGATTTCCTTCGACTAATTCTACGTCCTACATTTGTTACCAGTTTCGTTGTTGGGATTCCTAAATATTTTATCTGATGAGATTACTATTTAGCTATTATTTTTCAAACCAAATTAGCTTATCTTTGACATAAAATACATTTTTTCTCATTATTTCCTGAACTTAATCTTTCACGATTAATGAACGGAAATTAGAAAAGCATTGAAAACATTTCCCCAACAACATTCATCAAACATCAAAACACCTAATAAACTAACTTCAAATGGCAGGGTAAGGGGAATAGTGGTCCAAATTAACCATAATCATTAAAGAGCCTATCGGAATTAGATTGCTCACTAACTAATTCGAGGAAGGTCAGACCTTTAGCGGATTGGGAGGTAATTTTGTTGGCGTGCGAAGTTTGACTCTACAAAATGGAATTCAAGACAGGAACCTTTACTTATAAAGGTACTATTGTAAGCTGTAGGAGCTTTAAAATAAGAAACAAAAGATTTATATTGAGACTTCCATGGGGAAACAACCTTCAGATTACTAAAAGTTTTGTAAAGAAATTCGGACCACTGGCACTGTCGACGCTGCATTGGTAAAAGTCCTGGATTCTCCCATTACAGGTCCAGCATAGATATTTACACCCGATGTCCAGAAAGTAATCTTAAAAATGTTATGGTGTAATCAGTTGAATTATGATTATAAAACTTTATCTATCTAAGAAAATTCTACAAAGGTCCACGTCCCATAAAATGAGGTCATCAAAAGTATGAACTTATTAAGAAGGACTACGAGTATTATACGGTCTACGCAACAATAAACTACAGTGTGAGTCACGTTAAAGTGTACATATGAAAATAGATGAAACTAGACCTATTTTTATCGACAAAAAAGAGGTCAAAAATTTTTTAAGATTTTTTTTTTATTTTTTATCGAANTTTGATGAATTTTGACTTTTTGAAGTTTTAATTCATAAGGAATAAGTAGGCTCATAAAACTCAACATAATATTATTATAGGTAATTTTTGGTAAAAATAAACTGCTTTCGCGTGCTATCAAGTCTTGTACTGTGACAAAACAAAAATCTCGCGACAAAACACAGGACAAAACTAGCAACTAATAAAAAATCCTTTTCTATCCCATAGGAATGAGTATGATCGTTGCCCTTCCCAGAAAAAAGCCTTTATTTGCTATAATCGCGCATGATCTAGCACGCCCGCCCAAACCGCCCGCCCAAGTAGCCTACGTAGAAAAGGTCCGGCATAGCGTGAAAAAACACTCTAATTTCCTGACCCAGAGGCTTTTCACATGAAAGGTTTTCCGAATATCTAAAAAGGGATGGGAATTTCGGCTCCAAACAAGGTTAAACTGATTATTGATTTCGTACACGAACAATTTCTGACCCTATGCCAGAATCATACGTGAAACAGATAGTGACCTAAGTTGTGAGACTTTGTCAAATAAAAGTTGATACGTTGGTGCCATATCAGCTAGACTTGTGTAAGCCTGAAAGCCTCTTATTGATTACTTTATGTCTACGAGTGACGTGGGTAGCCTTTAGTGCCCATCATTATGGGTAAGCTCATCGTTATTTTGATTTGATTAAGTAAGTAATTCTGAATTTTGATAAATTTGATTGACATGGTTATTTGAGCTTAGAAAAAATATTAATAACCTGAGTTATGTAAGGCTTGACTTTTCCAACAAAGTAATGGCTAATTAGTATCAGCATGACTTTAAAGCTTTTTAAACTTTCATACGATGATATGACGATACGACGAATGACTGAACTGGCTGAATTTCTTCCTTTTCTTATTCTCAGCACCAACCTATAATATGTTGTCTTGAAGTCGTGGTAGGGTCAGTTTTGGGACGGGATTAAGTGCAAGGGCCTACAATCTACATACTAACAAATAATTTGAATTTGAAAGACATAGTTATTTAGGTTCGTTTTTGTACATCTAAATTCCGTAAGAGAATCGTTGTTCTCCAAATAGTTCTGCAATGAAATAAATTAAGACTTGACGTCGGACAATGAATTCAATTTACTTAGTGACTACCTCTTTCTATTATTCATGACTGTCATTTAGTGCAGTTTCTACATTCTGCAGCATAATGAATAAATGACTTTTCTTTAATATAACTTTAGCCAGTAGTTTTCCCAGCTCCTAACAGCAAGTTATGAAATTATCTTGATTTAATTAAACATCGGGTCTTCATTACCTTGTTTTGACAGTCTTTCCTTGATTGCACAGCTTTTAAGCACTTGTGTGAAACACTTTTCAACTTTTAAATTATTATTTTGCAAGCTGACAAGTACAAAAGTTAGGACTTTGTTGTAAGCTCAACGTAACGTTATAAAAGCTCTGAGTAGGTGCTCAGGTAGGTATATACTTTCTTAAAGTTAATCATTTTGTGTTTAACTGTAGGTATATTTAACTGAGTAGAAATAATGAGTGAATGAATCCAAATCTAATAACTAAAATTTTCAATGTATCGCTGTTGGTTTCTATAAATAATAAATACCTAAATGAAAATAAATAAGAAAACATAACATTTCAGCCAATCGCAGTACCTACATATTATTATTGTTACCTAACAAAACCTGACTGATTAACCTGTGCATAAAAAATTACTCTGTCTTTCATTTTATTAAATTTTCTGTTGTCCCTTATTGTACTCGTTAGACAAAAGACAATCTTATCTCCAGACCCTAAAGTTTCTTTTCATAAAATTAAAACCCAGGGGAAGACAGACATCTTTGTTTAGAGAGAAGCGTGGGTAGAAAGCATAAATACCGGTCGTACATCAGCAGAGCCGCGTTGCAACTCATTCCCGGTCCCGGTCCCGGGAGCGTGTATTGATCCGTCCCGCGCCCTTGAACGCGGGTACACCCTACACAGTACAAATACTACGTATCAACATCAGAGAGATTCAAATGGGAAAATAATAATAAAAAAGGTTTTGCGTTCAGAATGGAATTAGAAATGAGGAGATCTGAGAATTGAAGTCATCAACAACATCAACAAAACCAGAATGTGATTAATTATAGTTACCTACTATGTACTTAGTTGAAATATTGGTACTAATTCTATGTGAAGTCTAGATCTGAAGTCATCTAAGAAATAGCCTAGTAGGCAGAACTGAGGTGCGTGGGACTGAGAATTAAGTACTTGAATGTGGTTTACGAGTGGAAAGAGTTACTTAAGGGCGTCTAAATGCACGGGTAATTACACTAGGGATGTGCGATACTTTTAAGATCCACAGCGAATAAATTCCACACAGTCTTCCAATCTTAAAATACCTTCTCTTTAGTGGCGTGAGTTGGTGCGAGTCCCCCGTTACTCAGACCGCTGGTCACCCTATCCCGCCCCAGCGACGGTATTGATCCGGCCGACCTTGATCGCGAGTACACCCCACAATATTATCTTTTTACTCTGGACTTTAAACTCGAGATTATCAAAAGCTTAATCTTACTCAAAAGGCCTAGGATTACAGTTACAAAGGGAGTCATTATTGACTTTTGGTTTAAGATTTTTAAAGAAACCATCTCCAATATAATTCTGTTCTTGTCTTTAGGGTTCCATTGAAACACCAAATGATCCCTTGTGGCTGTCTTTTGCAGAAAATTTTACTTATAAACGAAGTACCTACTTGATGAAAATACTTGAAAAGAACAAGAAGGCGGGATCTAAATTAATATCACACTCAATACTCAACATTTTGTTGCATCCATTACTTACAATTAGAACATTATGGGCCTTGTAGGGCACGGCATTAGGAGAGAAGAGGACCACCCTAGATCAGCCGAGAAATGTATTAGAAGAGAAGAGTTAAAAGAGCCCAATAATGTACCTATCATTTAGATACCTACTAAATGATAGGTACTTAAAGCATAATAGTGTTTGGAGTTATTAAGTTCTGACTTATATTTAGTACCTAATGGAAATAATAATAAGTTCTAAATCGGCAGTAGGTAAATTAAGTTCCTAAGCTTTATTAGTATTTGTACTGACTGTCAAATGCTAAATTTCCAGAGCTCAACGTCTATATTAAATTGTGACAACGTCACGGACGAGAAACGCAAACATTTGCAAAGTACCCAGACAAAGACGAGGGCAAATAAGCCTCG